ACAGTCTGGCTCTTGTTGCCCAGGCTGGAGTGCAATGGCGCAATCTTGGTTCACCACAACCTCTGCCTTCCAGGTTCGAGTTTCTCCTACCTCAGCTTCCCAAGTAGCTGGGACTATAGGCATGCGCCACCATGCCCGGCTAACTTACGTATTTTTTAGTAGAGACGGGTTTCTCCATGTTGCTCAGGCTGGTCTTGAACTCCCAATCTCAGGTGATCCACCTGCCTCAGCCTCCCAAAGTCCTGGAATTACAGGCATAAGCCACTGTGCCCAGCCTCATCCTTACCCTTTTGAAACAAAGTTTTTATTAAGGGAAAGATAAGGGAAGAAAAGGGTTGAACAGGTAAATAAAATGTACAACTAATACCCAAGTTTAATTTTAATGGCCATAGTAATTGAAGCAATATCTACCTCTTTGGCTAGAGTATTGATTATAAAATGAACAATGCGACCAGGCTTGGTGGCTCACACCTGTAATCCCAGCACTTTGGGAAGCCGAGATGAGAGGATTGCTTGAGACCAGGATTTCAAGACCAGCCTGGCAACATAGTGAGACCCCTGTCTCTACAGAATTTTTTTTTTTTTAATTACCTGGGGGCCAGGCATGGTGGCTCATGCCTATAATCCCAGCACTTTGGGAGACTGAGTCAGGTGGATCACCAGAGGTCAGGAGTTCAAGACCAACCTAGCCAACATTGTGAAACCCCATCTCTACTGAAGTAATTAGCCAGGGTATGGTGGTGCATGCCTGTAATCCCAGCTACTTGGGAGGTTGAAGCAGGATAATTGCTTGAACCTGGGAGGCAGAGCTTGCAGTGAGCCAAGATTATACCACTGCACTCCAACCTGGGTGACAGAGCAAGACTCCATATAAAAAAAAAAAAATTTTTACCTGGGCATGGTGGCACATGCCTGCACATGCCCAACATTTTACTTGGGCATTTGAAGTAGGAAGATCACTTGAGCCCAGGAGGTCGAGGGCATCATGAGTGCACCACTGTACTCCAGCCTGGGCAACAGAGCGAGACCCTGTCTCAAGAAAAGGAAAATAGTAAAAGAAGCAGAGGACCTGAATAATTAATATATTGTATAAATATGTCTCCAGATTGTTATATTTACTCGTAATTTAGTGTTATGTATCAGTAAACATAATTATATTTAAAAATGTGTTTTGTTCTTCATGTAGAATACAAATCATATTCCCCTGAAGCCCTGTGGAGATACCTCACAGCTCGCCATGATTGGTTAAACATTATCCTGTGGATTGGAGAATTTCAAACCCAGCATAGTTATGCTTCACTTCCACAGAGCAAATGGCCCCTTCTGACTGTTGATGTTATTAACCAGAATACTTGCTGTAACAACTACATGAGGAATGAAATTTTGGATAAGTTGGCCAGGTATTGTAACTGTTGAACTAATCCTCAGTGGGAAGAGTACAAGGGAAGAGCAAGAAAAAATAATGGTATAGTTTTTCCTTTCAAATGCCATAAATCCACAGTATTGTCCCATATTATTATAAAATTTAAAGCACATCTTCTTATAGTGAAGTTTTAAAATCATATGCATTTGGCTGGGTGCGTTGGCTCATGCCTTTAATCCCAGCACTTGGGAAGGCTGAGGTGGGCAGATCACCTGAGGTCAGGAGTTCGTGACAAGCCTGTCAACATGGTGAAACCCTGTGTCTACAAAAATACAAAAATTAGTCAGACATAATGCCGGATAACCCCAACTACTGAGGAGCCTGAGGCAGGAGAATCACTTGAACCCAGGAGACAGAGGCTGCAGTGAGCCAAGATCGCACCATTGCACTCCAGCCTGGGTGACAGCAAGATTCTGTCTCAAGAAGAAACAAAAAATCATATGCATTTAACATCATGTGGTAGTGAATAAGCTCTCAAGTTTTAGATGCAGGTGTCTCCCAAAACATTTTATGCACTTTGGTATAGAAATGTTAAGTTTCCAGTAGGGCTATAAGGAGCAAGTGACAAGAGCTGAGATGGGGATACCTTAGTATCCAGTCTCTTGTGCTTCATATTGCTACATGTGTGCTATGTATGGCCTTGAACTAAGAGAACTGAATTAAGAAATAGTGAGGGGAAGCCAGGTGCGATGCCTCACACCTATAATCCCAGCACTTTGGGAGGTCAAGGCAGGTGGATCACTTGAGGCCAGGACTTAGAGACCAGCCTGGCCAATATGTTAAAACCCCGTCTGTACTAAAAATACAAAAGTTACCTGGGTGTGGTAGCACACGTGTGTAGTCTCAGCTACTCAGGAGGCTGAGGCAGAATAATCACTTGAACCCAGGAGGCAGTGGTTGCATTAAGCTGAAATCAAGCCATTGCACTCCAGCCTGGGCAAGAGAGCAAGACTTCATCTCAAAAAAAAA